GGACTGCCTCCAAAGTCATATGCCTTCGATGGTGACCGCCCCCACGCGATGATCTTAAACCACTGGGACGCACACACACCTGTGCACATGCACGCAAGCCCACATGAGTTCCAACTGGTCGCACTTCCTCAAGGGCCACTTAGGTTCGCCTACATGGCAGGTGACCTTATCCCAACGCGCCCAATCATGCCACAAGTGGACGCGATTGACAATCACGTATAAGCCACTGTCACACAGCAGACAGTGGGTTGCCAACCAGACTGCAAGTACAACGCCAGTCCGTCCCATTGCTGGCTTTACGCCGAGCGGCCATTGCCACCCGAGACAGCAATTGCGGGTTTTGTACACAATAAATTATCCTCCGGGCGGCCTCCACTTTTACGCCCTTCTTATTGTGTACTGCCTTGGGGATTCCAAAGGACGCAATTCGGCGGTGGCACCAGACAGGAATCACCGTTACAACACTAGCAAGTGAGCGACTGGTAGTGGTTCTCGAGATTGAGCCCCGGTGCACAACAGACCAAGTGTGTCTCGTAACGCAATCACTGAGCGCCCCCACTACCATAGTGTTTTATATCTTATGTGAATACACAGTTTTGGGAGTAACAACAAAGCAGGTCATGAATCGGACCCTTCAAGCAAGCTGTGCCAAGCAGCGGCAGAATACTGGTATCTGGGCTCTTCATATGGTAAGTTACAATAACAAAGCTTTGACGCAGACAACTATATAGGCTGTTGTTTGCTGCATAGGCGAGGATAAGTTTCACAACCATGAAGACTGGGCTGGCATCCTTTTTAACGTTGGTGGAGACTTTCTCAGAAGAGTATGTCACAAAGGCTAACTTCATGCTCTTTATTATGTTTCAATCTGGGCATAGAGAGTCACTGAAAAAGGCATTGGCAAACGCAGAGAAACGTCTGACCGAAACACAGGACCTGTTAGCAACTCGTGAACGCGAACACCAAGCTGCGCTACGACAAGCGGCTGCGGAACACGGTCGAGTAGCCGAGTGCAGGAGCCAACTGGAAACAGCCCTTGAGACGGCCAATGAGGAGGCTCGGTCCCTGCGCGCGAACATCAATGCAGCGGAGAAGAAGAAGAGTGTTCTGGAGGCTCGCTTGGCGTCCTGCGAACTGGAGAAACGTGATGCGGATATGAGGCTCAATTCTATACACAGTTCACTGCGACGCATTATTGGATTCCGTCAGGAGGCTATAATTACAGGAAGTCGATCCAGATCCCCAGGCCACAGAAGTTCCTCGCGTGGCCGCTCAGCCTCACCCACTCGCCGTAAGTTCTCGGTTTCGAGGCTTGCTGTTTCACCGTAAATGATTATTATGTCTAGATTACTTGTCTACTGATATTATAATAGTAAAACATTTGTAAAGCCCTCGATTTGCGAACAGACACGCTGAAAGTTTGTTTACGCATTAAAGCATTGTCGAATGAGCTAAATGCAAGAAACGTTATGACAAGCGGTGGAGACGATGGTGGAGATTAAAACAGTAACAAAAATCCGCTTAAGAATGGATGACTCACAGAGTGTGTTTGGTATGATCACTAAGAGGTGAATACCTTCTGAGTTCTAAAACCGATTGTTTAAATTAGAATTGCATATTGCTTATGAAACTTAACATCCCTTATAACGGTACGATGCATCCGCCAATAATACTAATTTTTGTTACACAAGAAAGAGCAGTCGGGAAGAGATGCGCGCCAGAATCCTCATCAGTAGTATGAATAAGAAGGAATGTCAATTCAGAAAAGAAGAAGCGATCACTGGAAAAAGAGTTTTATTGTCTTGGCGTTTCGGATTCCGTCGGGAATCCTTAATAATAGGTAATCGTAGAAAAGTCTGAGACATGGGCAGACCCAGACTTTTCTACGATTCCCTATAATTAAGGATTCCCGACGGAATCCGAAACGTCAAGACGATAAAACTCTTGTTCCAGTGACCGCTTCTTCTTCTTCTGAACTGCTTCATGGAACTCGCATATTCAATTCTATAGGAATGTCAATGTTAAATTGTCAATCTGTTATTGGGCTAGATGATCGTATATTTGGCCCTTAAAGGAAATAAAAAGCAAATATTCCAAATAAGGACTCCTCTAGGGGTATATCCAAACAAAATTATGTCTTTACAGTCATAGGCTAGACCAAAATACAATAAAATATGTTTAACCAGTTAATGGATTCCGTGAGCGAAACCCAAAAGTAGACTACTATGGGAAACCCGGATAGCCTAGTCAAACTGTTTAAATACGGCTGGAGCCGGAAATTGCATTAGGTGGCTCCTTAAACTTAAAAAAACGCGAAGATGCGTAACTTGAAGATGGACATTTTTGCAGACGGACGTGAACTTTCCTAGATTCAGCCCACATTATAGTGGTGATCTGAATCCCTTAA